AGAAACCACTAGATTAAATGTTGGGTCTCTTTCAGCAATAAACATTTGCTTTGCTTTGCCTCTTCTTACCGCCGCTCAATCCCCCACCACAAGAACAAATCAGCCTGACTGATCCTACTAGGCCCCAAGGAACGTGATCTTTGGGAAGGTTGCCCTCTACATTCTTCATAGAACCTGGGCGAAAGTAAGAGTGAACCACCTTGTCAAGTGGGCCCTTCCCCTGCAAGCCGAAGGAGGCTTTGGTCCCATTGAAAAGACCAGGTTTAAATAAATATGATTTCAACCCCATTTCAGCATAGCATGAAATGTTGCTGAAATATATTAAATCGTCAAGGTCAGGGGCTGGTGGAACTAAGAGTTGAAACTTGTGCTTGGTTTCTAGTTTGCAACTCTTCTGGCTGGCACTGTCCCCATCACATATTGGTGAAGCCCACTGGGCTTCCCCCCCACATTGGGCTCATCTCTCTCTGTATCAGAATGGACCCAAATGTCACATCCCTCCCCTTCACCGAGGTCAGAGGGAGAGGTGTGGGGGGGTGCCGCTGGAAGAGGAGATGGGTGACAGGCCCCCCACCAGCAAGGGAGAAGCCTGGTGTGACACTGCTTTGGAGGCCACCACGAGGCCCTGGCCCCTGCAGGGTGGAACAATTTTCTGAGTTTCTTCCTGTCTCGTCCAAGCTGACTAGCCCTCACAGCCAAGTCTTGTAAAACCCAAGCCTCTTTATTGCTCTTCATCCTCTTCTTGTGGCCTCTTCATTGCCTCTTGTGGCCTATTACTTAGACTTGCAGACTTTAGAGGGGGAGCTAATCTCAGGCTTCTTCTGATATGACAGCTTCCAAGTCCTAGATGTGGGCAAAGCTTGGGGCTGGGGGACACTTTTTCTTCAGCCACAGAAATTCTGCGTGTGTCTGTTTTATGTGCTGTGTTAGAGCCTGGTCACTGGTGTGTGGGGAAGCCTGCTCTCACTGGGGGTGTGGCTGGAAAAGTCTTTATAGTGTTTGCCAATTTCTATGGTGTAAATGTTCCCACCAAAGCCCATTTCAAGCTACCACCCAGAAATCACCCAGAGCAAAACCGGAAAGTGCATATAACGGTTCCTGCGGACCAGGGCATGCCAGCACGTGACAGCACTGCTTCTGGTTTCCTTTTAAGAGACGTGTGAAGACCATTGTCTAGCAATATCTTTAAAAGACAAGGCAACGGAGGTCCAGGCAGATTAAAAGAGCTAACCAGGACCTGACGCCAAGCCTCCTGTCCCCCAGCCTCCTGATACTACCCTGTCTACAAATTTTTCTCAGCCTGTAATAGGCAGTGGGGAGAGAAACCAGATATCATCACAGGTGGCAGCAGCTCTAGGGAGGGACTGACAGTGGCCAATGTCCATCTAAGTGACCAAAGGATCTTGTTAGCCAACCTTAAAAAACCTCAAACCAAAAGAACCCTATTTTCAACCCACCTTTGCTGTCCTTGGGGAGTGAATTACTCTCTGTTCCAACTAGATGACTCAAGGAGCACTCCCACGCCCCTTTCCCCAAGTTTATCCCCCAAACCCACTGAATGTCCTTGGGCAATGCATTGTGTGCTGTTCAGGGGTGGCGAGGAACTGGAAAGAGCAAGTTCTTTCCAAGGAGACAAGGAATGATTATTTTAGCAGCTGTTATTTCTGGGGTAAGAAGCAAAAAGGGGGCCTCCCTGGTGGTGCAAGGGGTTAAGATGCAACCTATGAAACTGTCCACAGCCACTGTAGCATGAGTTCGATCCCCAGCCAGGGAGCTACCCACATGGCGCAGCAGACCTCTCCTGACTCACCCACTGCTCCCCTCAGCAGGGTGTTTCAATCAGTCTGCCTGTTCTGCTCCCCGCTCTGTCTCTGGTGAACCCTCTTACCCTCCGCACCTCTGGCCTGTACCCTAGTTCTTGTATGCATAAATAAATCTTTAAAAAAAAAAAAAAGGAAGCAAAGAGGAAGGTGGAAAGTGTGAGGTAATGACCTTTGAACTTCTGGAGCCCAAGCTTCTAGCTTTGGCTCTGCTACTAATTTGGGTGGGTCTCTTCCCTTCACTAGGCATCAGTTTCCCCATCTCTACAATAAAAGGTTCGAATTGATGCTTTCCAGCATCTTTCTTTTAAAAGCCCATGAATCACCAAGGGGAAAATGTATAGGAGATGGCCCAGCGAGGTTTCTCTCCCACCCACCCTCTTTCGCCTGCTTCAGAAGGACCCCTTCCTTGCACGTCTGAGATGCTCCCCACTCTATAGACAACACCCCACAAAGGCCCCCTCCCTCCAGTTTCTCTGCACGTGGATAGGAGATGCGAAGTCTCCCAGGACTGCCTTCTGGCTGCCCCAGCCAGGCAGCTGGCCTCCTGTCTCCGAGGGATTCTTTGTGTCTGCGTTTCTTCCTGAGGAGCCGGGGTCATAGTGCCCAGGGGAAGGAATGAGGGAAGGGGGGGGCCATCTTTTTCCCCAGCCTCCACCCATCTCTCCCCCCTCCAGTCTGGTTTGCTAGTTTAGAAGAGGGAGGAGAGGGAAGAACGACCCCTGGGGCCCCCCAGCCTGCCCTGCAGCTTCCCACTCCCCTTTCCTCCCCTCCACAGAAAGAAAGTGGGTCACAGTCCACAAGGGTCGCTATTGCCAACCCGGTCCTGCTGCCGCTGGTAGAGCCCAGCCCTCCCCCGCCAGATCTCATTAAGGGGTCGCTGCTTATGCTTCCCAGCCGCCCCCCATCCATCTTTGGCCACGGATGACAGACTGGGCCCGGGGGCTGATGTCCGGCAGGTGACAGGGTTAATGGCAGAAGAGGGCAGAGGGCAGAGGCCAGCCAACTCACAGTGGTGAGGGCGGCCCGGGGAGGCCCTGGGTCCATTCCAGTTGGGCAGCCCCTCAAATTACAGCACCTGGGGGAGGGATGAGTCCCAGACCCATCCATCCCCAGGGCAGCAAGGTGGGTAGCATCGGCCATCTTGGGAGCAGATGGTGGGAGGAGAGAATGTTAGCCTGGGAAGAAGGGAGTAAAGAGGCTTACAAGGGGAAGAAGGGCCGGGAATAGAGGGGGGGAGACCCCTGTAGATGTGTGCCCAATGGGGGAAAAAAAAGCCTCCTGTCTCCCTGGATGCTCTTTGGCAAGAAACACATGTTTTGCAGATGTGTAAAAAGTCAGGTGAGTGTTTTGGATGTGAAAGCCCATAACCAGGTCTGTTTTCACCCCCTGCTGTGACAGCAGCCCTGCACTGTTAGGTGTAAGGGTCCACAGGCACACGATGTGGGTCCAAATCCTGTTCAGATCCGCACAGTGAGAGCCTGGGGAAGTCACTTAGCTTCTCTGAGCCTCACTGTCTCATCTGTGCAGTGTCAGCTCCACAGTCCCCAGCGCCGTGGGGATGAGATGACATGATGTGTGGCGTGCACAGCACCTGGCCCCCCGTGAGTGTCACTGCGTATCAGCTGCACTTGGAAGAGGCAGTATTGTATAACTATCACCTTTCTGCCTCTCGCCCACCCCCAGACTTTTCCCAGGCCTTCTGCCTTGGGACCTCCCTCGTCTGACCTCCTACATGCCCAGGATCACCTCCTGGCTGCTCTGCTCACTCCCAGGGAGCTGCTGAATGCTGTTGTGGGGGCAGCTTCCCCCCTCACTGCTCCCACAGGGGAGGCCCCATAGTGGCAAGGGTTAGTCCCTCTGGGCCTTTGAAGCCCAGGGAGGGGAGGGCCTGCCCTGTGCTCCTGACCTGGGGGGAAGCCGGGCTCAGCCCCCCACCTCCCACCGTGGGAGGATGGCTGAGGAACAATGGGCAGTGGAGGGCTGGCTCCAGCGCTGGCCAGCTGGCAGTCAGGAGAGAATGGTGGGGTAGGGATGAGAGCAAGCTCTCCCCCAAACAAGCAAAAATCTCCTTTAAGAGAGCGGGTTGTGGCTGGGGTCTCCCTGCAGCCACAGGGTGTCCGATGGGGAGGAGGAGAGAGATTGTGGCTTTGTCACCTTTTGGAAGGAAGTTGTCCAGAACCCTCATGGAGAGGGTGCTGGGAGCTCCTTCTCAGTTCCAGGGACCCTCTCCAGTGTACCCCAACCTCAGGGTGGGCAAAGGAACCAATCCTGCCCTGTCTCCCCAGCTTGAATGGAGTGGCTCCCCGGGGTACTGATCGCCTCCATTAGGTCCTCAATCTTGCGAGGATAATGCATGGCCCAGGCAGTGTTGGGGGAGGCGGCCCCACTGGCCGAGGAGCTGGGAGGCAGGATGTAGAGGCCTGAGCAGAATACCAAACAGCTGGCCTTGGCTGGCCCCTCTGGCCAGCAAACCTGTGTTGAACCAGGAAAGGCATGGGGGGCCTGCCTTCCACAGCCCCCGGCCACCTCGGTGCCCCTACACCAGCTCCACCAACTCCTGCTGTGGCTGAGCTCCTGGGGGAAGGGGTGCTTCTCCCTGGGGTCTCACATCCCCAGGCTGCACCCTGTGTGGCAGCAGGGTCCTGGATGACACGAAACGTCAGCACCCACTGCACTGACTGGCCCGGAGCCCTGCGCAGCTCAGAACCTCAGAGGATGACCCAGCAAAACCAGAATAAAAAACACCCTTGATTGCAGGGTGGGGAGGGACTCAAACACGAGAAAATTGTCCACTTTCATGGTCTCTCTACACTTTCCAAATGAAATCAGTGGTCAGTGTCCCTCTAGAGTGAGTCATGCTGTGATGAGAACTGCTGGCCACTAAATCCAGTCCCCTGAGGCCATTGTTGCTTTAGCCCCTTAGCCAGCACCCTGTGGTCGAGAGCCCTCTACTCTCAGTTCATTCCACCCCAGCCTTCCCTTTGAAAATCTTCCCACCCCCTATGTGTTATCTGCTGTGCTGTTCACAGCACCCTCTCACCCAGGCGGGTGCTCTGCCTCCCCGTGCCCCACGGCAGGACAGCTGGCAGTGTCCCTGGAAAGCAGGTGGCCTGCCGGTGTGGGGCTTGGGCCCTGGGCTCAGAGAAATCCAGGCTGTAAACCAGCATTTGTGCTTACCAGCTGTGTGACCTCAGGTGAGCTTCCGGCCTTCTGGGGACTGAGTTTTCTTATGCCCTAAAGGAAGATTAAACTAGCATTAAACTATACTTGATTACGAGAACTCATTAGGTGAAATAATACTAAAGTGAAGCTTTTAGCGCAGTGCCTAGCACATTATAAATGCTTGAAAGTTGCAAAAGGGAGAAGAATTTTTAAAAATTCCTATTTGATAGGTGGGGAAAACAAGGTCCGGAAAGGCAATAGGTTGGCCTGGATCACAGAACTGGAATGGGCGCTGAAATGAGCTCTGGGACTCGCAGGCCCGGGCTCCCTTCACTGGCTTCCTGTCTACCTCCAGCCCCTCTTTCTCACCTTCCTGCTCCACCCTGAAGCTTTGCCCCCCAGTTCTCCTGCTCCCTGGGCCCCAAGTTCTTCTGGGTTTTCCCTGAATGTGAATGACTGGCTCCCTCTTCCTGTCTGCACCCCTTGTGGTGGAAATATTTGCAAACCTGGGAACAGCAGACAGAATCCAAAGCCCATAATTCAACAGTGATCAGATGTCGGGGCAGGGCTAGGACAGTTATATTAATAACTATGCCATTAAAAACTAACCAGCGATGTGCTCATAAAGCATGTGCTGGTTGGGGTGGCTGGGGTGGTTTGTTTATTTATTTTTCCCTTCAGGAGGAAACAGGGCCACCGAGGGAGAACATTAAATTACCTCTTGAGATGGTCCCGGCAGTAAGTCGGGTAGGTGAGGAGGACGGGCAGCAGTGTCTGCCAGGCCTTCTTCGGCCTTTCCTAACTCCCATCTCGCACTTGGCTTTGTTTTATAAGGGGCCAATTACTCCCTCCTGGGTCAGCTGTGTCCCTCATTCAGCGCTGCAGTCTACGTAGGCAAAAGGTACCTTTTTCATAAACCGAACAAGTAAGGGTGACCATATATTCTTCTTTACCAGAAATCAGAACATGGCGTGTGACTTGGAAAAGAGGGGGCGTGTAGGGACAAAAGCTTTGTAGATCTGAAATAAGCACTGTTCGGAGAAGCCAGACCCATGGAGGCCCAACAGAACCAGCCGGCCAGGTTCTCTTCGGAGCATTTGGTGTGTGTTAACATGCTCGATCGTCACAATAATCCTGCCCAGGTGTGTGAGCGCGAGCTGTTGTTATTCCCATCCTGTGCGTGGGGAAAGTGGGGTCTCGAAGCTGGGCTCAAGTCCCAGCCATTCTGACTTCCTGTGTGTTCCCTCGCTGTACTGCCCTGGGTGTTCTTCGCTGGGATGGTGTCCTCTCCATCCTTAACAGTCTGAGATAAGGAAGCCCTGGCCTGAGCTGAGTAGATGCCTGAAGCCTGAGGACCCCTTCCCAGCTAATAGAGTTGCAGCCATGGGGCACTGAGTGCGCTCTCTGAGCCAGGCACTGTGCTTAGACATAGCATAGGTGTCTGATCTCACTCAGTACATTACGAGTTGAGTCCACAGGAGAGCCTATGAAGGCCCAGGGGAGCCCCCCAGTAGGCCATGGCAAGCAAGCACCAGGGTCCAATCCAGGGCTGACTCTGCAGCCCCCAACCCCCATCCCGCCACCCTAAGAAAGCCTCTCCCATTTCCCATGCCAGGATTTCATGATTTTAGGGCACTGGGCTCAGGTTTGACCAAAGTTCCCTGCCAGAGTTTAGCCCAGGCCTAAGATGCTTAGATTCCCAAGGGCGGGGATCCAGGCCAGGCAACCCACCCTGTGACACGGACAGAAAGGCACAGGGAGTCTTTTAATTTTACATTAGAAGAGAAGGCCCCTTCCCCCATGGCCTTCCCTCCTCCCCGGCCTCAGGTCCCTTCCAATCACATCAGAGACCCCAGAGGGGGCTTGACCTCTGTCCTCGGGGGAGGTCAGCTGGGGTGACCCTGCCTGTGTGCAGGATCCCGTGAGAGAGGCCCAGCTGCTGGCCCTGGAGGGCTGGAAAAGCACCCGGAAATGGGCTCGGGGTCAGCGAGGGCGGCCTAGGCTGAGGGAGGGGCTTCTCTGGCCCTTTGTGAGCTGATGGGCAGGGGGAGATTAGTTCCACAGGCAGCCCCTGTGTCTCCAGAGAAAGGGGTTATTATGAGCAACTCAAAATACAGGGCACAGCCCACCCCACCTCCCCTTTTATTGCCATGGAGATGAGGCAGGCTGTGGGGGAGGGGAGGACAGGGGGCGGTGAAGAGAGCGCTAGAGGGAGGGAGAATGCAAGGCAGGTGAAACCAGGGGAGGAGAGGGAAGGGGGCTGCTGAGAGGGGAAGCCAGGAAGAGCAAGAGGGGAGAGGGCAAGAGGGGAGAACTCTGGTCCTGTCTCATCCAGAGTGGCTATTGGGGTCTCACAGGTTCCTGTCCACATCCTGCTTGGGGGGTCACAGACATTGCCTGACTGCTACCAGGGCCAAGAAGGGTTTGCCCACAAGGCGCAGCTGGCCCTGTGACCTTGGAAGGTGAGGGGCCCGACCATCTGGGATTAAATTGCAAGATGGTCTCATGGAAGGCAGCTGGCGGACAGCTGCTAGGCCTTGTCCAGCTTCTGGACATACCAAGCACCCAAACCATTGACTCTCAGGTCCTCTGACCCAGTGCCCCACCCTCTGCAGCTTGCCCTCCAGAGAGTGACCTAGTGTCAGCCCCAGGCCTTCCATGAGGGTGACTGATGTCCTCACCTGTGCCTGGTGGGGCACCTGTGGTCGTCAGAAAGGGCTTCCTTATAGCAGAGACCTCTCACCCTCTTCCCGCCAAACCCAGCTCTGGGGCTTCACAGTGAAATAAACAGACCTACTGATGGACGGGATAGCAAAATAAAATACGGAGCTGTGTCTCTCCTCGGCCCTGTCAGGTATTTAGTAAGTTTTGTAGAAAGAAAGGATGAGAGTCTCATTTCTTGATGTGAAATATTTGGAAAACACTAGTAAGAAGGTAACCCTGTTAACAAAAAAACACAGCCTGTAGTTTAAAACTACCTAAAGTTAAATGAAAGCCCTGGAATGGGAAGTGATTCCAGCCTTCAAACACAGAACATCTTAAGACTCCAGGGTCTTCCTGGGTGGTGCCCTGCTGTCAACATAGAAGGTCACGGGCAGGGCCCTTGGTGTGTTTAGCAAACTGGGCAGCCTAGTGGAAGAGTTGGAACCCAGAGTCACAGTTTGCCGTGGCATTGTGGCTGGCCTTTGGCTCTTTGCCTCAGTATCCCTGCTGCAAGTTGGATAAACACCGACCATCCCAAATAGGATGCACTTGAAAAGAGGGACCAGCTACTGGCAAGCAACCAGAGAGAGGCCTTATAGGAAGGACAGGACCTTCCTCTTTGGGAGCTTAGAGGTCCCCAGGCAGAAAAATTCGTGATTCTGCAGTTTGAAGAGATTCAAGGATTCAGAGCTGATTGGGGTCCTCCAATTAGCAGGATCTGGGGACCATATCTGGGAAGTATCAAGTCAGCTTCTGGATCTTCTTACCAAGGTGGGCCAGATGAGAGGCTGCAAGCAGCAGGGAGGGTGGAAGAGGATCTTGGAGGCAACTCCATCATGAAGGAAGAAGTTAGGGCTCTCCTTACCTTTTAGTCCCTTCCCCTTGCACCACTGGGAGAGGCCTCGAAAGCAGGGCCCCAGGCAGATGTTCAGAACAGGTGGTTTTAGGTGTTTTGGACACCAGAAATAAGCTGAAATTCTGGTTGACAGAGAAAGGCTACATCCTATGCTCAAGGACAGTTTCTTCAAAATTCTAGGCCTCACCAGAGGCTAGAGACAGCCCTGATTCTTCCTTAGAGAGAAAAAGGAGCCCCAACCCTGGCTCCCTGTTTGAACGGTGCCAAAGCCTCAGATGTCCAGAAAGGCAGGCATACCTGCTGTTGTCTCTTCCCATCCAGCACTGGGGCTCCTGCCCAAATGCTCGTGTCCAGATTGTATTTATGACTGTTTTAAGAAGGAGTGACAGAGCCTTTTAATATCCCTGACAGCCCGGGATGTTTTAATAGATGGTGGAGCTGGGCTGCGGGAGTTAAGAAAAGAGAGCTGAGTTGCCTAGCAAGCTGTCAGGCCTGGTTTCTATGACAGACCTACTGATCGACTGGACGGCAAAATAAAATACGGAGCTGTGTCTCTCCTCGGCCCTGTCAGGTTGACAGACAGTCTGTCACTGTTGTATGTCATCTTTCACCTCCTAATCACCCAGGCTTAGGGGGCCTGCGTTTTAAGGGGAGTCCCTGCAGGATTTCCAGGCGACCCACTCCAGAGCATCAGGTCTCCATTTCAACCGTCCAGGCTCCAGATGGCAAACAGAACTCTCTTACCTACAGAGCCCCGCCTCACTTGTTGCCATTAGAGGTGATTCTAGGTCTTGACATTCAACAATCCACAAAACCAGATGGAATGGGTGGTGGGATTGTTGCCCAGCACGGAACAACTTGGTGCAGCTGAGCTGCACTCAAAACCCTAAGTTCAAAGGTCAACTTAAAGTTGTGCATTTTATGTTTTGGGCTGGGTCAGATACCTTACCCCCCTCAACACACACACACACACACACACACACACACGCACACACACACACACAGAGTAAGAAATGAAGAGTGTCGGTCTTCACCCCTTCTGACTTGTTGCTAGACCTCACAGGTCTATATGGATCTCTCCTCCCATAAACTCTCAGCTCCCCACTTCCTGCTCCTTTGCCACTCCCCTTGGTCTCACAGCCTCAAGGTTGGTTTCAGAGCTAAATATAAGTTCCTTATTCACGCTTTTCTAGCCCTAGGTTTGGGGCTGGTCAGACCAGCAACTCACCTTGTGGCTAAAGCCTTTTGGTCACAGCCTCCACACGTTCTCGGACAGGTGAGAGTTCAGGGACCTCCCTCCCCCCAATAGAGAAAAGGAGGACAACAAATCCAGGGGCCACCCACCTTATTCTGACTGGAGTGACAGAAACTCTCAGAGATCCCAAAGTCCTTCCTTTCCCCATGTTAAACCTAGTTGTGCTGGGTCTGCTCCCCCTCATTTGGGGGCTCTGCCCATTCCCAACCCACTTGCTGAGGGTGAAGGGGCAAGCGCTTATGCTCCCTGGCCCATCTCCCAGGTCCAGGGCTGCTGACCAGGGCCTCTCTCACCCTCAGGGCCCTGAGCCCTGCGTTCGAGTCCTCTGCCAGGAGAGAGTTAAGGGCTTGGGTTTAATTTGCCCGTTAATCACAGTTAAAAGAAGTAATGAGCGTCTCCCCAAAGCCTGGGTGTTTCTCTGCAGATTAAGCAGCAATTTGCATAGCCCCTTATTCATTCCCACCTTCCCCTGTGGGGCGGCTTGTCCTTTCAGACACAGCCAAGCGCAGCCAGCGGCTGGAGGCTTTGACAAATGGCTTTGCTGCGCCTTGGTTTGGGCGAGAGGGAGGGAGGGGAAGACAGGGAGGGAGAGGGCAGCTCCCGACAGTAATGGATAGCTGGGGCGTTAAATAGTGCAGAACTTTTTATTAGGCACACAGGAGAAGTTTAAATATTCAAACTGGTTTTCTTTGAAGCTTTCAGAATGAGAGGAGAGTGGTAGGCAGGATGAAGAGTTTACTCAGGGCCAGTTTCCTCCAAGAGGCCTGCCCATCACCTGAAAGTGCATCTGGAGGACACAGGCACCTGCGGTCAGCTGGCACCCCGGCTCCCCAGCCCGGGAGCAGGCCTGATACCTGCCTGCTGGGCCTGGGAGCTGCCAGGTAGGGTGCCAGCTCCTTGGGGCCTGGCTCCCCAGGGTGCAGAACAGCTTGTTCAGGACCCAGCATATGGGCGGCATTCTGGAAGTAGGGACTGACTCCAGTTTGAGAACAACCCTGGTCTAGGAAGCAATGACACGGCCAAGAGAGGGTGGATGATGGCCCCCTCCTGCCCTCTCCCTCCAGAAGACCCGTCAACCAAATAGGGAAAGGGAGACTCACTGGGCAGTGGTAGATGGGACTTGGATCTAACCATATGTCTGTTTTAAAAGTCCACTTAAACCCAGTTTTCTTCCCAAACATCTGGTGCTCTGTAGGGCTCTTCCTTGTGGCTAATTTGTGAGTGCCATGATTATATTTTAGAGGCCAAAGTCACTTGAGAGATCACCAGAACTGAAGTTGAGAAGTTAAGGCTGAGGTTCCCAAGCAGACATGAGAATGAGCAACACAACCGCTGCTCTTTGGAGGCTGTTTGGGGCGCAGAGGCTGGGACATGATGGAGTCCACAGGCACCTTGAAGGCATCTGCACAATTTTGGGGACCCTGTGGAGGAGGCAGAGGTGAATTCTGCTGGGGCACTGACAGTGTCCACAGAGATGTGTCTGGGCTCATCTGAGCTGGGTCAGGAAGCCTAGGAGGGGTTCACAAGGCGGGTGGGGCTGTGGGACCCCATAGGGTTTAGTGTCTTGGCTGGACAGCCAGGCTGGAAAGACAAGTGGAGGTCCAAATAGTGAAGGCTGACCTGCTGCGTTAGGAATTTAGGGAACTAAGGGACTATATGGGCTTCTGAGCAGAATGATTAGGGCAAAAAAGCCCACAACAAAGAAATGCCGGATTGGAAAAGAGCCGGCAGAGCTTGGAGTGGGTTGGTGGAACAGAGAAAAGAAACAGAGGGATGAAATGTGGGATGGAGGCGATACTGGGGGGTTTGGTTTGGGACATGCTGGCATGTGGGACAGATTGGCCAGGACCAGGACCCAAGTGTCTAACCATAGGCCAGGATATTTCCAATCTTCTGCCCTCACAACCCTTAACACCTGAGTCTCTCAGAGCATCGAGGTACCATACTCATCCACTCCAGCAACCTACCCAGGTCGGTAGTGTCTAATCACATATAATAGGTGAAGAAAACGAGGCATAGAGAGGGCCAGGGACTCACCCAAAGTCACATGGGCAAGAACAGAGCTGGGATTTGGCCAGGCATCCAAGATCTAGAGAGGGTGCTCATCACAGCTGCTCTGGTGTCCCCCTCAACCCAGTACTGTCATGAGATTTTATATGTGCATGTGCAGGAGTGGGGAGGAGAGAAGGAGAAAAAAGTGGAGATTCAAAGAAAAAAAATTAGTAAGGACAGGCAGGCGTGGATGAAAAGGCAGAGAAGAGCCACAGGGCCTGTGTTTCTAAGGGAGAAACTGTAGCAACATCTGGGGAACTAATGAGCAGGAGAGGCGCGGGCAGCGAGCAAGGAGCCAGCCCTGCCACGATTAGCTCCTGCTCCCAAAGGCCTGGAGTGTGCTTTTCTTTGCCTCTCAGCTCCAGGCCAGTTCTTTGGAGCAGGCAATCCTTTAGCTGGGTGATGAGGTTCTGATCTCAATGACGCAGAGAATTCCCTGCCCAGTCGGGGCAGTGAGAAGCTAGTTCCAGACATGTAGGAGCCCACAGCTCTCTGGCAAGCCCTTCGTGGGCTGCCAGAACTCAGATGAGCAATTGATAGCACTCCACTTAGCCACTGCAGGACGCCACGTGAAGGCATGAACTGCTGTTGGCCACAGTCACTGTACAGTTGTGTGCGGGAAGGCAGCCTTCATTTAAGCAGAGATTGCGAGGAAGGTGTGGGCAGTGCCTGACTTAGCAGGGCAAGACAGTTTTGGAAACATAACTCTGCTTCCCAATATGAAGCAGGGTGACAGGTCTTGCTAAGAAGTGAGAGCTGGGAATCTTCTCTGAAAATGGGTGGCATAATTTAACATAAGAGGAGTGTGCTCTTGGCAAAACAGTTCACATCAAACTAAAGATTCTGAGGGTGTAATCTTGGCCCACCTCCTTCCCTGAACGGTTATTTGGTTTTTTAACGACTCTGGAAACCTGGTTGCTCAGGCCTTGGTCTTCAAGCTTCACAAGGAGCCTCTGACCTCTCCATTCCAAGAAAGCAAGTTAGGCCAAGATAAGGAATCCTTATCCTTGTTTCACAAGCCGAAAATAAAAACACACATTTGCCTAGTGAGCATTTACTCTGTGCCAGGTGCTGTTTGAAGAGCGCAGCCTGTTGTAACTCATTTAATTCTTACAACCTCTGGTGCAATGCTGAGGAAAGCAAGCAGGAACCCGCTGCAGTGATCTCAGGGAAATTGGGGAGCAGGTCTGAAAGACACAGCACTGCCCTCCCGCGAGGTGAAACAGCCAAGCCAATCTTCAGTGTCTCGAGGCTGATCAGAAAACAGACCCCTTAACCACACCACTCACCAAGGTGACCAAAATTTGTTGACACCTTTCCTGTCTAAAGCCACTTCCCCACTGTGGCGGTGGCTAACCCTCAGCGCACTCACTTCCTCCCACTGGCCCCTGGCAGGCAGGAGGCAGGCGAGGTGCTCCTGGGCAAGAGCAAGGGCAAGAGCTTTTGAGGCCTGCCATCGTCACATGACCCACAGGGCCTCTCCTCAAAAGCTATGCGTGTAAGCAAGAGTGTGGAACAGCAGGCGATTGGATGAGGGATACTGGAGCGGGCAAGGGTAGCCTGCCTTGGGGAGCTGATGGCTGCCGCCAGAGGCAGGCTAGAGGACCAGTGGAGCTGGTAGCTGAACAGGTGGGGCAGGAAGGGACAGCCATTCTCTCGGAAGAACAGGACCAAGAGCCGCAGCCAGCGTCCCAGGCCGAGAGCCTTCACAGCATTGAGGGTGGGACGCGACCGCTCAGGCCCCTTCTGCCTGCGATGCTGAGGACAGTTTCACCTCGACCTTCCACACCAATACTTTCCCTTTTTCAATTCCTAGGTTTCTTCAGCCCCCAGTCCCCCCAAAAAGAGGTGATCAGGCAAAGATTGGGGGGAAGCAATGAGCTGACATTAATTGATAGGAGCAGCTTCGAGCAGTTCATGCTGCCTTATCTCTCTCTCCTCTGGATAGCGTGTGTCCGCCGGAGTCCGCGGGGTCGGTGATTAATAGGGGCCATCACTCACTGTCCAGGACGGCTGAAAGGCAGTAGGGAGGGGGCGGCCCTCCCCAGAACTGAGATAACAAGCAGCAGGAATAATGAGTGGTGTCACTCCACTTTTCATTTTGATGGAAAGTCATTACGGGAGTCAACGCCAGCGACAAAGAGCCATGAATCAACTGCTCTGCTATGAAATTAAAATCGAATTGCCGGCCACCCCCAACCCCTACCCTTCCTGGGAAACGGGGATGGTAGGTGGCTTGGGAGAGGGGTGCTATCTGGGGTGGGCTCTACCCAATCACAGAGCAGGCAGTTACGGCGGGAAGTGGACAGGCAGCTAGTGAAGGTGACAACTCCTGTCTCCACCTTGTTTACCAGACCCTTCCTCCCCAAACCGCATTTTCCCTCTGCCTGGAGGTAAGCTGTGATTAAAAGGAAAATACAGCT